TGCCGGGTTTTGATCCGGCCCGGCCCGGCCCGGCGGGCCACGGGCCAGCCAACCCACGAACCGCAACCGGCCCGCCAAAAAGTAAGGGCCGGTTCATAGAACCGGCCCGAACCGCCGATTCACCGGCCCGGCGGTTCGGCCCGGGTTCGGCCCTTAAAAAAATCAAAGGATTTGGCCCGGCCCGGCCCGGCCCGACGGGACAAAACAAAAAAAACCGTGACCCTTAACCGGACCGGATTGGCCGCGGTCCGGTTCTCGAACCCGACACTATTCATGCCGGTACCGGTACCGGGCCGGGCCGGTACCGAGTCACGGGTTGGGCCACGGGCCGGGCCGCCCGTGGCCATGTCTAGCTCGGAGCGAACCAAATTAGTACGCGAGACCAAAAAAAAAAAAAAAGATGTATTTTATGCTATTAACCGCGGATGCCCGTAAGAGATATGAATGTCTAAAAAAAATCCATATAATTCAAATCTTAGACCACTCATGAAGTACCCAAAATGCATTTAATGGGCTTATAAATGGTAGTCCAATAAAAGGTGGATCAAAATTCTAAAGGGCCCAATGGATGAGACAGAAAGGCAAGCTGAATACCAGGCCAGATACGATTTCCAACGGTCTAATCAACACAGGACACAAAAGCAAACACGGTGACGGGACGGGACTGAGTGATTATAATTTATAACAACAAAAAATAAATAAATAAAAAGTCATGACAAATATTTTATTAGACTGGGAATTGAACAATGAACTGAATGATTTTCATTAAACAAGATGAACGATTGTACAATGAACAGAGGGAGAGTTTGGCTGCGGAAGAAGAACTGAAAATGAAAAGTAAAAAGTGAAGTACAATATGTGGTGATCCCTTATTTATATCTAGGGTTTCCACAATGGCAAAATAGTAAAAATACAAATGCCTATAGTTGCTATTTATAAAACAACAACTTTAACACAAAGTCTATTATTACAAATGCCTATAGTTGTTGTTTTAGAGAACAACAACTTTAACACAAGTTCTAATAACAATTATATGCATAATGTTAATACCCCCGCAAGCTAAACATGTATATTATGCATGTGAAGCTTGGACATAAGGTAAAGAAAAGCAGGGCCTGGAAGGGCTTTGGTGAGAATATCTGTTGTTTGATCCTTTGTATCCACATGGTGAAGTTGAATCAGCCCTTGTGCCACTTTTTCTCGAATTAGGTGACAATCAATTTCTATATGTTTTGTACGCTCATGAAAAACAGGGTTAGTAGCAATAGCAATAGCAGATTTGTTGTCACAAAATAGAGGAACAAGAGATGAATGTGAAATATTCAAATCAGCAAGAATGTACATAAGCCATTGTATTTCACATGCAGTAGAAGCTAAAGCCCTATATTCTGATTCTGCTGAGGATTTACTGACAGTGGCTTGTTTCTTAGATTTCCAAGAAATAAGAGAGTTTCCTAAAAAGATGGAAAAACCAGTAATGCTTCTTCTAGTATTAACACAAGAACCCCAGTCACTATCAGAAAAAGCTTGTAATTGAAGAGCAGAAGAACTTGAAAACAGAATTCCCTTACCTACTGTACCTTTGAGATATCTCAGTACTCTGTGTGCAGCATTGAGGTGATGAACAGTTGGTTTTGACAGGAATTGACTAAGAGTTTGGATACTGAAGGCAATATCAGGCCTAGATATTGTTAAGTACAGTAACCTGCCAATAAGCTTTCTGTAGACAGTAAGCTCAGTAAGTTCATAATTTTCAGTATAAGCTGTCAATTTAACAGTTGGGTCCATAGGAGTGGCTGCAGGCTTGCAGCCTAAAAAACCAGTGTCAGTTAGAATATCAAGGGCATATTTTCTCTGACACATGTTTATACCTTGAGCAGAGTGTGCAAACTCTAATCCAAGTATGTATTTCAAAATACCCAAGTCTTTAATAGTGAAGCAGGCATCAAGGTGATTTTTGATTTTTGAAATATGAGAAAGATTATTGCCTGTCACTATAATATCATCAACATATACTAATAATGCTGTAAATGAAGATTCAGAATGCATAGTGAACAAAGAGCTGTCAGAAACAGATTGAACAAAACCATATGCAAGAAGACATTGGGTGAGTTTAGAGAACCATTGCCTAGAGGCCTGTTTAAGGCCATAAAGGCTTTTTACTAGTTTACACACCCTGTTGTCATTTTTATCACAGTAACCAGGTGGAGGTTTCATATAGACTTCTTCTTCTAACTCACCATGTAAGAAAGCATTGTTAACATCAAGTTGATGAATATGCCACTTTTTAATAGAAGCTAAAGCAATCAGCAGTCTTACTGTGGTAATTTTTGCAACAGGTGAGAATGTTTCAAAATAATATATACCCTC